AAAAGAGAGCTAAGTAAGTCTTTTGCTATGAAAGACTTGGGATCGGTGAAACAAATACTTGGCATGAATATTCTTCGTGATAGGAAGAAAAAGAAGATTTGGCTATCTCAGGAGACTTACATTGAAAATGTTCTTGGAAAATTCAACATGAGTAAAGCCAAAGTAGTTTATTCTCCACTTGCAGGTCATTTCAAGCAAGGTTCGCAATACCGTATCGTACCGGTATTTCGACCTGCGCTCGGTACCGGTACGGTACGGACCGTACGGTATACCGAGCGGTACACCCAGGTGTACCGAGCGGTATACTCAGGTATGCCGAGTACTGTAGCACTGCTACAGTGCTACAATGCACTCGGACCGGTAACAGGCGATCCGCGTACCGACAATCTGTCGGACCAGTACGTACCGCCCGTACCGGGCGGTACAGTTCGGTACTGCAGACCATGATTTCAAGTTTAGTTTGAAACAATGTCCTACAAGTGAGAAAGAAAAAGAAGAAATGTCCAGAGTGCCTTACTCATATGCAGTAGGCAGTTTGATGTATACTATGGTTTGTACTAGGCCAGATATAGCTCATGCAGTTGGAGTTGTCAGCCGATTTCTCTCTAATCCCATAAAAGAATATTAGGCAGCAGTGAAATGGATATTAAAATATCTAAGAGGTACTTCCAGGTTATGTTTATGTTTTGATAATGATGAACCTATGTTATAAGGGTACACAAATGCAGACATGACAGGTGATACTGATTCCAGGAAGTCCACTTTGGGATTCTTGATGACATTTGCAGGAGGAGCAGTCTCTTGGCAGTCTAAGTTACAAAAGTGTGTTGCTCTATCAACCACAGAAGCAGAATACATAGCAATTACTGAATCTTGCAAGGAAGCTTTATGGATGAAAAAGTTTCTACAGGAATTGGGCTTGAAACAGGAAGGATATACTGTTTACTGTGACAGTCAGAGTGTCATTCACCTCTCCAAAAATTCAACATACCATTCTAGATCCAAGCATATTGATGTGAGATATCACTGGATTCGTGATATGCTTGAGATGAAAGAATTACAGTTGAAAAAAGTGCATACTAATGAGAATGGATCAGATATGTTGACAAAGTCTTTGCCTAAGGAGAAGCTTGAAGCATGTAGGCGAAGAGCAGGTTTGGTACAGCCCACCATATGAGCTGGAGGGAGAGAATTGTTGGGTCCAGCCCATATGTGGGCTTGGACAATTGGGCCTATTGAGCCCAAATCAGCAATTAAAAGAGAAAGATGTGAGATAGGGTAAAACACGAGAGAGAGGAAAGTTTTTTCGTATGTGGTGTGAGTAGCGACAGCACACGACAAGAGAGAGAAAGAGAGAGAAAGATTAGGTTTCTGAGTTTTCTGCTTGACGATCGGTGGCCAAACGTTGTCAGTTTTGGCCCAAATTTGATGTGGAGAATCCTTGCAGCAAACTCTACAATCCTAACGGTGTTGATCTACAGTTTACCATCTCTAAGGTACTTTCCTGCTATATCCACTCTGTGAGACCTAGAATTCTCTTTTGAGGAGATCCATCCTATATGATGATATGCTAGAGCCAAGATCCATGTTCTTAATGTTATTGTGATCCTCTGATTATTCTAGAGAAGACTTATTGTAAACCTGTTATCATTACTATTGATAGTGGAAGTTTGAGGTGGACTACGGTCCTGTGGTTTTTCCCACATTGGGTTTTCCACGTTAAAAGATTTGGTCTCACTGTGTGATTGATTTTTTACTCTATTGTTTATGCTGTGCTGGTTGATATTTTTATTTGGATATCAAGTTGGTATTTTGATAAGGAACCCATTTTGATACACAAAGAGGGAAAAGAATATTCTACTTTAATAGGTTTTTTCCCAACACGGAGCTGGTGATCTTGCTGCTGGTAAAAGCACCTTGATCTTCCAGAGTGGTGGCGCCATACATGTTTATCCATGCAGATGGCACGTTGACCTAATGGGGCTGTCTCCAGAATAGAAGGACCATATTCTTAAATGGGGCATATAAAGTACATAAGGAAAATATCAAAAGGAGTAAGAAAAATGTGCTGTTAGATAAGATAATTCGATGATTCGTTGTTAACAATTTAAACAGGGCAAATGCTTATTATTTCTTTCAAGGTGGAATATTCATGCTGGCTTACAGTCTTTTGCAGGAGCCATTTAAAAATGTACCTGTCATCTGGACCATCCACGAAATGGTCCTGCACCTTTCTTCAAGTGAATATGCTGCAAATGGTCAGGATCAGCTTTTGAATGACTGGAAGCAAATTTTTAGCAGAGCTACTGTTGTAGTGTTTCCGACATATTTGATGCCGGTAATACACTTTTGTCATGCTTTTGAGCTGTTTGATGATATTTAGACTTTGCTGATATTGATTGGTACAGAGCTCAGATCTAAATTGCTGTACTTATTTTCCAATGTTTGTCAATGTTTTTCTATGCTTTCAGATGATGTATTCGGCATTTGATGCTGGCAACTTTCTGGTTATTCCTGGTTCTCCTTCTGAAGCATGGGAGGCAATTAACTCAGCCACACAGAAAATCCATAATTCCGAAGAAAATATGGGTCATTCACCAGAGGAACTTCTAATTGCTATTGTCAGCAGTCAGTTCCTATATAGTGGTAAGTTGATAGAGCATGCCATAATCCTGGAAGCGTTAATGCCACTGCACCAACAGTTTCTGCATGTGAATACTTCTTATTCTTCTCTGAAAATTGGCATTTTGGGTGCAAATTTTACTGGTGCACAGAGGACTGCTTTGGAGGTAATTTTCTTTCTCAACGCAATCATCGTTCTTGCTCCAGTGTTCTTGTTTTTGCTAATATTTTCTTGATCAATGTTAACATCATATAAATAATTTCAGGCAATTGCTCGAAATGTTGGCTTTCCAAGCAACATTGTGGAGAATATTGTTGTTGCTGGAGACATGAACAACTTTATTAACATAGCAGATATTGTAATATATGGATCATTTCTTGAGGAACAATCCTTTCCCAGTGTTCTTATGCAAGCTATGAGTCTGGGAAAGCTGATTATTGCTCCAGACCTAGACATGATCAGCAAATATGTATGTAGATGCTTAGATACTTATTATTGATTTTCCAGTTCTTTCATAGTATTTTGCTAACTACATTGTTTGATTGCTTAGGTGGTCAATGAGGTAAATGCATACCTTTTCTCTAAAGAGAAAGTTGGCATGCTGAGAAAGATTTTGCTTGAAGTAGTTTCAAATGGAAAATTGTCTCTATCTGCTCGGCAAGTTGCAGCAGTTGGTAAAAGGCATGCCAGAAACCTAATGGCATCTGAAACAATTCAAGGCTATGTTTCATTGTTAGAAAAGGTTCTCAAGTTTCCATCAGAAATTGCACTTCCTAAGCCTGTCAAAGAGATCCCTTTGAGACTAAGTGAGGAATGGCAATGGGATCTTTTTTTGAATTTAAGAAACATGAACAATCTAAATAGAAGCTTTATAAGTTATAGAATGTTAAACAAACTCAAGGAGCAGTTAGATCACAGCAGTTCTGCTAATACTTCTGCAAATTTTGACAAAGCCTTGTCCTCGGTAGCCTGGGAAGAAGAGAAAATCATTGAGATGGTGAATGCTAAGAAACGAATAGAAGAAGAAGAGGTGAGAAAGTTTGGTTGATAAAATTTCACTTTCATTTCGCAGTATATATTGACTTTTTTTAAACCACTTCTCAGAGCATTTTCTATTGAAACTCAATGCAGTTAAGGGATAGGAGTGATCAGCCTCATGGAACATGGGACGAGGTATATAGGAGTGCTAAAAGAGCTGACAGAGAAAGAAATGAGTTGCATGAGAGAGATGACAGGGAGCTTGAGCGGACAGGTCAGCCCTTGTGCATATATGAACCGTATTTTGGTGAAGGGGCTTGGCCTTTTCTGCACCAAACCTCACTCTATCGTGGAATTGGCTTAGTAAGTAGTTGAGAATCTTATTTTATGCTACATTTGTTATCAGAACATCGTTCTATAATGATCATAAAGAAAGGTGAAAATGATTCCTGAAAGGACAGAGATAAATAGCTGCCTCACACTCTGGTATCCATATGTTAGATAGTAGTTAATGTTGAAGAAGGTTATATCATATGTTCAAAAGTTTCAATGTTGTGCTTATAAAATGTGGAGATTCGGCCATCTCTCTGAAGTAATTATAGATGCAAGAAAAATTAGGGAATTATGTGTACATAAAAAGATAAATGATTAGATGTAAGTTAAGTTAAGATCTGCTTACTGGTGCTAAGGAGCTTGGATCTTCTCTTCTTGTTCCGTTCTGCCATATATACCTGTAAAGAAAGGACAGCACACACCTCTTTTTGTTGATTGCAATTTTTTCCAAAGATCATTGTTTCTTGGCAAGTTAGCTTTGATGATACCTGTAAACGAAGGATGGCACACACTCTGGCACAAATAAAAATGCCTCATGTTGAAACCTTTCTAGGATGGCATGTCCTCACCCATTCCAAATGTGGCCATCAACATGACAATTCTTGTGTTTAACAATTAAATAATTCTTGCTATCATTATAGTTAGCTACATGAAAACCTTTTTTGCCTGCTTACCATGAAAGCATGGTTATTTAATAGTCATCCAAAGGACGAAGGCCTGGAGCTGATGATGTAGATGCTTCTTCTCGTCTTCCACTTCTCAGTAATTCATATTACCGAGATGCACTTGGTGAATGTGGAGCATTTTTTGCTTTGGCTAACCGGATTGATCGTGTACATAAGAATGCTTGGATTGGTTTTCAATCGTGGAGAGCGTCAGCTAGAAAGGTACATTTTTCTAAGCTCCACAATAATAGGCTGTTTAAATGCCATAACATAGTGCACAAGAATAATAGCATTTATGATACACGTCTGTAAACTTTTTGTACTTGTCATCTTATATTTTACAGCTTGCAACTTCTGTGAACAAGTCTTGGTCTAAGCTTTAAAGGCATAGAAATTTCATATAATTGGCGGTGACAACATGACTTTCTGTGGTTTTCCCATGATGCATTGTTTTGATTACGCAAGACAGCTTATTTGTCACTTGCTTGCAATTTCTTTACTGGTATATCCTATTTGTAATGCTCTTTTGTTGCCTTAATTTTGGCCTTTGTTTTACGATGGTTTTGATAAGAATCAGTGTTACAACTCAACCACCACCTTTAATCTTGCAGCTCATTCTTCCTTCTCTTGTTTCCTTGTATTTTATGCTCTCCTTTAGGCCTTCTCTTGTATTGATGTGTTTATCGCTGGTTGCTGATGTTCTTTCTAATTGAACTAGCTGAACGTATATATCAATAAGTTGTGCTAGATCTTTATGGTCATTAAAGATTACTGTACGCAAAGGGAAATGCCTTGTTGACATATTGAAGATCTTGCAGTTAGTTCATTGTCCATTTTGGAGAATGTAGCAGGCGGAGAGTGCACTAGTTTGTCTCTTGACATCTTGGCAGACTATATGGTTTTTTATATGCTTTTTATGGAAGCATGAAGGCTAGAAATTCCAAATGAAAACTCAAATCTAAAACCTTATAGCACAGTGATTAATGTTGTGGTGGTTGCAGATCAAATATGCAGAGACTAACAATCTGCAACTTGACTATTTTTAACCCACATGATCAAGTGGATTGGATTAGCTCTGGCTTTTGCTACTGTCTACAGGTCAGTTTATCTAAAGAAGCTGAGGCCAAACTCTTGGAGGCCATTCAGACACAAAGGCATGGAGATGCTCTTTACTTCTGGATTCGGCTGGACACAGATCCAAGAAACCCTCGGCAACTAGAATTTTGGGATTTTTGTGATGCCATAAATGCTGGAAACTGCAGGTAAGATAAATGCTTTTGTCATTCCTGTATATATTTCTTGTCAGTACAATTCAGTATACAAAACAGTTTCAACCAGAATAAGATAATCTTATAGTAGTGATCTTCAACTACTCCATTGTGAAGTGTGTTGAGAAACCTGTGATGTCATGCACTATTTTAGGATGAAAACCGCTTAGACATAAAGCTTACATTTGTAGGAGTTAATGATGTGATTTTGTTAAATACAGTCAACCAACTTCCAATCTTCTATCTACGTTTCTGAAGTCATTTGTAGGAATTAATGATGTGATTTTGTTAAATACATTTCTTGTGACTGGTTTCATCTGAGCAACATACATTGAATTTAAAATTTGGAGCACAAGATCTTACTCTGTAGCATGGAACTGCTGCTTATCACCATATAGATGTTTCTTGGGGTTTATGTTTTAAAGATTGACAGGACGGAGGTGCCCTTTGTATGTTAATATGTATATCTAGGATTAGTTACTTATTTAAAACTTTTATGCTCTATGAAGGTTTGCTGTTGTTGAGATCCTCCGAAGAATGTATGGTGTACAAGATGATTGGGATTCATTACCTCAGATGCCAAATGATGGGGATTTCTGGTCTGTGATGCACAGCTGGGTTTTGCCCACGAGGTCTTTCCTTGAGTTTGCCATGTTCTCAAGGTACACATCTTTGTAAATGATTATAGTTTTCGCAGGCTTGGCACATGTTGAATTGCCACTTGCATATGTTTGAGAAATGGTTTTCATGCTGTCCATGACAATCAGTAGCTAATGTTGTATGAAAAATAACCTACATGGTTCTGCTTTTTAAATGCATTTTTGTCATTTTTCAACTGAAACAACAATTTTGGTTTAACAAGATTAATGCAAACTAAACACGGGTAGTTATCCTGGTTTATGCCATGAGATAGGCTCATTAGATGGGATACATGATGCTTATTAATCCTTTTGACCCACATAAGGTCTTCTTACACGGGAGGAAGTCCACTTGCAAATATGTTCTTTCTGCCTATGCATGTGCCTTACATGCTAGACTGATGGCATGGGCTAGAGCACAATTTAGAGCCTGAATATTCTGATGTGACATATGGATTTAAGTTCCCATTCCACATATTATTTCTAGCTAGCATTGTGTGTTTTTTTGGTATCCAGTACCATCAGCCTAGTTATTGAGAGTTCTATCATGTCTACATGAAGCTACAACGTACCTACCGTACATCAAAAGTTTTTACTGCTCATATTGGAGCTAGTGGCTATTTTATATATCTAATTGTACGTCTAAGCTCCTTCTGTGACAAAAAATAAATCTACATAAATATTGAGGATGCTCAAACCAAAATGTAAAGTAGGAGCTCTTGTTGACTTTTGAAACTTTTATTATACCGGCTAATTTCATAAGAATCATGACACAAAGTTCTTAACGTTTGACTAAAACTATCCCACTGATAATTAAAAATTTCAAGAAGAGCCAAGTTATGCAAGTAAGTTATGTCTTTTTATGAAGATCTACTTGGTGATAAAAGAAATTACATTCGAATTGCTTCACATAGAGTTTAAGGGTCTTTCTTTTTTCATAGTCAACTAACCTGTGGTAGGTGTCATCACATGAAGTTCTATTAAATTATTTTGAATATTGTGATAATATCTGAAATGACAGACTAACTAGTCCGTGATACGTTGTCACTATGTCTTGTAATGATTTATTGACTTCAATGTTGCTAGTCATGCTATCTGTATTTATTGCTTCCTATTTCCTTTTCAGAATGTTTGTAGATGCCTTGGATGCAATGGTGTATGATGAACACAACACAAGCGGGTATTGTCTTTTGAGCATATCAAAGGTAATAATCATTCCTATTAGCTTCAGTATTTTTTGTTCTTTGATATTTTAAATATTTCGGAACTTAATCTAGTCTTGTCAAAGTAAGTCTTTTAGAATAATGGTGCAATACATTTTGCTGCGTGCAATATTTAAGTAAAAACTAGATAGTCCTTGAGGATTCCCATCTACCTAATGTGTCTTTCGGTGGTAATATGTATTCCTCATTCCACTTGATGACATTGTCGTCTTGAACTTCCCCATCTAACAGTTGCTATACTATTAACTCAAAAAAATACATTTGTTATTTACTTTTTTTTTACAGAAGTACTCGTATAATTGGATCGAACTCTTGTACATATTCATGCACTGCCCATCTAACTGGGATTGAATCCCACCGATAGATACGAGCAATAAATCCATAACAATAATAAAGATCGTGACTGTTGATAGTAAGATCCTACTTTCATCTTAAATGCGGTTAGACTAGCAATATACATGAGAATTATATCAAGCGAAGAAAGCAACTTACGATTGAATATATTGTGCATATTGATATATTTTGCAGCATGATCGAATGTGTTTACACATACAAATATATGACTATAGACATGTATCGATATGCTCGGCTTCGATGGTTCTAGTTGCCATAGATTTGAAGGCCTGAACTAAGAACCAGTATGTTTAAACTGCATGTTACAGGACAGACAATGCTATTCCCGTCTGCTGGAGCTTCTTGTCAATGTGTGGGCATACCATAGTGCACGACGGATAGTCTATGTCAACCCAGAGTCCGGGGCTATGCAGGAGCAGCACAGGCTGAAGAAAAGGAGAGGTCAGATGTGGATCGGCTGGTTCTCTTACACCACACTGAAAGGTATAGATGAGGATCTGGCAGAGGAAGCTGATTCAGACCACCCTGATCGGAGATGGCTCTGGCCCTCCACTGGTGAGATCGTTTGGCAGGGCGTATATGAGCGGGAGCGCAACATGCGGCAACAGCAGAAAGAAAGAAGAAAACAACATAGCAGAGACAAGATCCAGAGAATAAAGAAGCGGGCACGTCAAAAGACGCTTGCCAAGTACATAAAACCACCACCCGACGAAGCTGACCATTTGAACACTACAACAGTCCGGTGACCATTTTCTTTCGAGGAAATCATTTGCTAACTCCTGCTGCATGTCCAAATTTTCGTGCTCCCGTTGGCCTTTGGTGCTAACTGTTTCTTTTTTTATTTTTATCATCCTCAGCTGTGGACGCTTTGGCCACTGTTAGCAGTACTGTATACGGTATCTTTCACTTCAATGTGTTGTATCACTGAGGAAAGGATTGAAACTTCAAATGTACATTAGCTGATCCCATCATATGTTATAACAGCAAGTATTCAATTCTTTAAGGCATTCATGATGTATTCGTGCCAAGCTTTTTTGTGCCATCACTAATCTGTGAGGTATTTATTTCCATCTACTACTCGTTGGTTTAACATGCGAGTCAAAACGAATGATAATGAAACCACTGTTGCTTGCGTCTAATGCTTTTGTTCTGAGGTGCACATTTGATCGTAGCAGATGGCTTACATACTGTTGTCGCCACCTATTGCCAATTCTTCTCCTCCTCCAACTTCGATGTGGTTTACATTTGGTAGGAGATTAGGGCCATCGATCCCTATGAGTACGGCTCTAAACGCACCTTGTTCACCCATCGTCTCATTGTAATTTGTGGCCATCGCATCGAACCCAGTCTCATTCTTCTTCGAGTCAACAGTTGTTTTTGTTCCGTCGCTGAGTCGCTCGAAGGTCGTCACTTTCCTCACCATTTAACGTAACCTCATGCGTGGTTCCTACTTTTGCATGTTGGGAAACATCGTGGTGCTTGCGATTACACCACCAAAGGCGTGGTTCCTTCTTTTGCATGTAGGGAAACATCGTGGTGCTTGCGATTACACCACCAAAGGCGTGGTTCCTTTTCTCGGCATCCCACTTTACAGCACACCCGAGTCATTAGGGCAGTGACAAGTGGTAGAAGTTCTTAGGTGCGGTTGCATGGGGAAGAGCTGCTTTGGTTCATCGTACGCCCTCCTTTCTCGGGTCCTACACGAAGACCACAGAGACAAGAATGTTATGTCCCCGAAAACTTTCTCGGCTCCTCGTGGAAACCGGCAACAGCAACAGGGAGATTCCCCGATCGAGATACCACCAGCAGGTGTCCTACCGATCGATCAGAACTAGGGTTTCAGTTCATGCAGAGGAGGGTGCAACAGAGATTAATCTGACACTAGTTTAACTTTAAGATACAGATCCATACATTGCGTCAACTGTAGAGCCAAAGCATGACGTACTGGATAGATTCCTTTTTGACAGGAAGTATCCTGCAAAACACACACACAACTTGCAGCTAAGCGACGAGAGAATCTTTGCAGCTGAATTCAAAGGTCCTCTTCATCACGAGCATAATAATTGTCCAACATTTCTTCTTTATCATCTTCTATTCTTTAATCAGTATATGCAGTAACAGTTAGCAAACAATCCGATGCATGCATGGCCACGACACGACTTCCTGATAGAAAAGCATCACTAAGGGGCTCCAATGTCATTCAATTATTGTAACAGTGATAATCTCAAAACAAAAGGAGAATCATTAATGGAGACATCTGTTGTCTTTCAGCTGAGGAAGAAGAACAGAGGAGTTAAAAAAGATAAACGAGGCAACTCCATATTGCCACCCATATGTCACAAAGATGAACATGAACAGCTCCAACTCTTCCATTGTCTTCGCAGCCATGACAAGTTGATACATATACCATCATCCATGGATCCATTAAATAAATATTTCGCAATCACTCCATTACATGAGATCGCATCAGCTCCATACTGCAAATATTCTCCACACACGATTGTGGCTGTTTTCTGTGGAAGAGCACGTCTTCTTGTGAATAAACAAGCGGAGGAACACATGAGCACCCACCTGGGTGCACGTGAATTGTTCATTGCCCTTCTTGTGGACAAACATCTCCACCACAGTCAGCTCCATGGTTTCAGATGTGGAACATAAGATAGAAAAGCAACACACAAACGAAATTGGTGAAAAGGAATCCGATCCACTTTTACCAAAATAATGGCATAATTAATGTCTATGGCTTGCATCAGGTGACTAAAGCGTCGGTCAAGAGTTGGAACTTTTGCCCTAGTGGGAGAGGTCATACATAACCCACTCGAACAAAAGCAGCTTTCTTGGATTGACCAGTGTAGTGTAAGAATAAAAATAAATGGATTCGATCAACACTATTAGAGTAATCAGATATCTTGGATTGACAAGTGGAAGAATAAAAGTAAATGGATTCAATCAGCATAATTAGCGTAATCAGATATCTTGAGAAAGGTGAGGAATAAAGATTTCCAAACCCATCCATCATCTCCATATCATATCACAATATTTATTAGTCGCAAAAACAAGAAATGGGGTTCTCGGGTGAAAAACACATAGCTTTAATGGTCATTTAATAGGATGATAAAGCATTTGTTACTCAAAAGCCAATATGACATGCAACAACAAAACCTTAAAGGTTTGTTATTAAAAAAAAGAAAAAAAGGTAAGAGTATAACCAAAAAAGAAATTGATAAAATCAGATCAGAAAAGCTTGAACAAGAAAGTTAGCAACTCAAGCCAAGTATTTTGACATGAAGGTATGAAAATATTTCCCATAATCTGGTACCCAAAAGGGAAGGAAATATAAAGAAGGTAAGAAAGAAACAAAAAAGCTAACCGAGAGCAGTCTGAGGGGATACGATGAAGAAATAAGTAATGATAAACCTAGTTCTGAGTTTTCATGAAGTTGCCAAAAAGGGAGCTCCCTTCAGTCCAAGCACAGGCAGCACGGGATCCAGTTTACCTCCCGCATCATTCACTCAGCTACCAAGTTAAGATGCTTCTTGGTAATTGGATGAATGAGTCGGCAGCTAAAGAAACCCCATCCCCACCGATGAGTGGACTGAAGGAAGCTCTCTTTACCCATTCCCATCCGAACTCATGAGCCACGGTGCCCCCTCCCCACTAAAAGAAGACATTTGTAAGGGTTCATCATGTCATGCACATATTTGATCCTGAGAAGAGTCTTTAACTTCGTCAAGAAGAAGAAGAAGGATGCGGCCAATACTGGGAGAGCCATGATCTTCCGACCTTGATCTTATTATTAAGCTGTTGTTGAAGAGAGAGAGAAAGAGAGGGAAGAAGAAGAAGAAGAAGAAGAAGAAGAAGAAGAAGAAGAAGGGAAAACATCGGCTTTCAATAAAGAGCAAAGGCGACGAAGCCGAAGGATTGAACAAGACACAGTGAGCGCTTCACTTGAACAAGCCCATGGATCTGAAGACAGGAGGGGCCCTTTAAATAGCTACTCCAAAGGCCTATATCACATCACCAAACAGTAGCAAGAATTATAGTATAATATTGTCACGGTTGAAGGAACTAGGGTTTCATTATGAGACAGCCCTTGCTGCTCTCTCTCTCTCTCTCTCTCCCCTAAGGTCACACTTGTTTAATCCCTTTCAACCATCCTTTTGTCTGCTACATTACATGTGCCTATTTTAACCAAGTGAAGCTACATGATTCCTTTTAAATTGAGTACATATACTGCATTGTTCTATTTAACATGGCTCACAAGCATATATTAGTTTAACTTCATGATCTACAATGTTCTTCTCGCTTAATCATGATTCTGTTCGATCAAGAAAATAACAAGTATGACTCAACTTGTCACCCATGTCCTACCTACAAGGTGCGACTACACATCAAAAAACCAAGGGCAGAGAGAATGGAGGATATGAGTTAGATGCTCATAGATTATACCAAGTCTGCATGCATTTCATGCTCTCGTTTATAATTATACCTTCTTTTGTTCCTTTCTAGCTAACCATTATACAAAAAAACAAAAAAAGTTATGATCTGAGCCTTAACAACATGACAATGAACCAATCTTCTTTTTAGTTTATAGAAAATGACCAACAGTTATGAAGCTTACACCAACTTCCACAGAACATCACACTCTTTTTGTCTATTTGCTATCATAAAAATACATAACAAATGCCATCTCTACAGATTAGATAAAGATGATCGAGAGGAGGATTTCTTTTTCTTGAAAAATACTATAATTAAAATTATGCTTTATTTTCATACTTAGGCTTACAGATGAAATGACAATGGTTCGAAAAAACTTCAGTCGTAACATCTTTCGTCTTCCAAAGATACTTAAAATTAGACAACAAACAAAAATTAATCTCCTCCTTTTTTTCTTTCTTTTATTATATAAAAATGTACCTTTTAATTAGCCATATTTTGATGAAACATCGACTAACGTATTCCGCCAAGAAAAAGAAAGTTGGTATCATCAATGATAACAAGGCTCAATTTAGATACTGGAAGTTTCACGATCATCGATATTATATCAGCTACGCCAAATCCATGTGCTCATGTAAATTATCAAGATGGTCTTGATTATTTTCCACATTTCCTATTCAAATGTGCTATATCTTCACCGAAAAGTTGACGAATTGCGCCCCCCCCCTCCCAAAAAAAAGCCTCTCGTTTTTAGAGTTTTCAAACAGTGCTATTTTTTTTTCTCTAATATTCGGAATATATATTTTTTCTTTTTCCCATGGACGGATTCATAGGTTGAATTGATTCGCTAGTATTTTATACATTATTATAATGTTTACAGTAATATAAAAAAAAACACTACAATATAGTTGCATGAACTTTGTAAAATATTATGTTTATAGTATTTTTATGCTGCATTATAATGTTTTCAGTAATATTATAAAAACGCTACAACATAATATTTTTTATTTTCAGTAATACTATATATTACTAGGAAAACATTGTAATACTATATAAAAACACTATAACACAATTGTTTTGTTCTGTGTTATATGTTTTTGAGTATTGCCGAAAACACTGTAATGTAGTGTAAAAACATCATAATCAGATCGGTGATCGATCCATAATAATAATAATAATAATAATAATAATAATAATAATAATAATAATAATAATAATAATGTAAAATACATCACTTTTGTCGTAGTGCCCGGGGGTTAATCAATCGTCTTTTTGATCGAGACAAAGGCTATAACCTTCCTTAAGATCTGTGACCGCAGCCCTTGCCACCAGGCGTATACAACATTCTACCTCCGATCGTAGTACCGTATTGACGTAATGACCATGATATACGACGACATTCACATAGAAGGTGTAGATCATCAACAGTCGACCATGCGATTTGGCATTACGGGCACCATACCAACATCAACATTGATAAGATCTTACGCCAGTATGCTGATATAATTAATATTCACATGAAATCTACATGTTGATGTACTTACTAAGTAATTCTAAACTCTGCGCATGTGTAT